AAAGAAAGAAAGAAAGAAAGAACCGAAAGTGACTTCTTTCCAATCTCTTCCCAACACAACCATTTCAACCCAAGTTTCACTTTAGGTAAAATTTATTTTGGGTGACATTTATTATTGAATTTATTTTTTCRCCCTTTTGCCCTACCTTTTCTATAACGTCCTTTTTTTTTTCACGAGGGTAGCACTTAACAAACTAACAAACCTGTGGAGTTGATTTTTTTCGGAGGGAGGAAAACCGGAGAACCCGGAAAACCCTCGAAGCACAGGAGAGAACCAACAACAACTTTTTCTGTTTTTTTGTTTTTGTTTTTGTTTTCTTGTTGTTGTTGTTGTTGTTGTTGTTGTTGTTTTTTGTTTCGTTTGTTTTTACTTAAATACTATTGAAATGAAGATACAGTAGAGATATCCATCCCCTCGAGTAATGTCCGGCTTCCTTTAATATACCCTTCATGGTATATATATTAAAACAGTACAGCTTCCCTAACTAATTCAATTTTGGCATATCTTTTGGCTACAAGTAAGGGATTTTGTAACACTTTTTAAAGTTTTTGTTTGATAAAGCTGAAAAGAAAAAATAYATTCACAAATTCTCACTGCCCATCCCTGAGCATCTGTTTTCTTTTCTTAAAAGCCATATTTATAAATGATTTTCAAAAATAACTGCATAATGGTGCCATTATCTTAAGATTAAGATTATTTTAAGCTTGGAAATCAAGCTGCAAGAGGCTCATCAACATCTCAAAGATTTTCTAAAATATGAGGATGTGTACAACAACAACAAAATCGAGGAAGGTCAAAAAGTTATAGATAATGGAAGTCAAACCTYCTTCAATTACCAAAAAACAACTTAAAGAAAAACAAGTTTAGTGGTCACATGAGAATGAAGGCCAATATGATAAAAAACATGCCCTCAGCTCAAACAGGCAATCCAGTAATCAAAGAAAGAAAGATAGATCAAGTTGAAGATCATGATTGTGATTCTGCTGAAGAAGAGGATGTGTTCATTGGTATTAAAAAGGGACACGTCCCCAAACACAAAAAAAGAAATATGTCCGTTGAATAAGAAAACAACATAAAAAATGGAAACTTGTTGTCTGATRAGTCAATTAATTTGGCCCAAAATCTTCTAAGACAACAATTCCCAAACATTGATTGCCATGTTGGTGAGATATAAATCTATTGGATGTCAAAACAGACGTGTTTGATGAATCCATTCAAGGTCAAAGACAGTGATATAAAGCACCAAAAACTGTCCATCACCATACAATCTGTACAACAACAGGATAATGAAGTGCACTGTAGAGTTTTCTCTTTAGCATTAGCTATATCCTTACTTACTGGTGATGACCCAGAACATGTGGTTTATAGCAAACTAARGATGCGTCAAAATGTTTTGGGATGTTGAACATTGTTGAAGAATGAAGCCCTTTCCAAAGCTTCAAAAAAGCACATCTAGCAGCCCTTCCAAGAGGTTGACATATAATTCATTTCAAAAATGTATGATTTATTTGGTCAGAATTATCAGAGTTTAATTGATCTATCTCTATACAGTTATTCTGTTTATATATTAATTGTTTATACATTTTCTACTTATTTTTATTTCATTYTTATTTGATTTATACATTAAACTAATTATAATTAAAGATTTTTGTTGAAAATATCTAATTACAAAATTTAGGAGGACCCGTTTGGTTCTCAACAATTCAAATTACCTTACAGTATTTTAAGAGGGTTTTACATAAGGAATACTCCAGTTTCGGGTTCTTTKCTCAGCCTTAGTCTCTGGGTCTTCAACTCTGGGTCTAATGCGTTAAGCTCTGTCTGAATGCAGTCATAAAGTTAAAGACACAGCATACCGTACTCTTGTACGGCCTAAACTCGAGTATGCGTCTTGTGTGTGGAATCCWTACAGACAACGGAACATAAACAAAATTGAATCCGTCAAACAAAGAGGCACTTGATTTGTCTTTAACAACTATTCGCGATATAGCCATGTTACACCTATGATACAAAGTCTTGGCTGGGACTCGCTTCATGACCGAAGACTTCTCCCACAAGCCACCAGGTTTTACAAAATCCAAATGGGCCATGTTGGCATTTCATTTCCACCTGATGTCAAACCGAATGAAAGGCCATYGAGAGCTCCCAACTGCTGTCCTTTAAAACAAGGTAGTGAAAGAGAACAATGATATTTTATAAGTTCTTCTTKTATCCGAGAACAATACCTTTAT